TTCGCACAGATGCTGGAGAGCACATACATGGCTACACACTCGAGTTTCTTTGGTATGTCGTAACCATCTATGTTTTGGTTATCTCCGACCTTTTATTTTCAGAATACCACTAACACCTCATAGCAATGGTTTCGGTTGCGGAGCAGTTTGGTAATCTGCGCGATACGCTCGGCTCCATCCTTGGCATCTTCACACTGATGCGGTGGATCCGGACACTGATCGCCAAGATCACTGGCCGGCCACCACCAGCCGACGCCATGGCCCTGACGCCCGCGGCGTTTGCGCGCTTCGAAGGCCGCACAGCGCCGCCTGGCCCGGACGGTACCGCCGGTGCGCCCAAGCCCAGCCGCAAGCCTCTCTTCTTCTTCGTGCTCGCCGCATTCGGCCTGCCGTATCTGATGAGCAAGATGATCAAGTCGCTGGCAGCATCGCACGAGGAAGAGGAGCGTCGGCAGATGGCCCTGCAACAGCAACAACAGCAGGCGCTCAATGACCCGTCCAAGCTCGACTTTTGCCGTGTTCTCTACGACTACACCCCTGACCCGGCCCTTGTCGCCCAGCAACAGCAGCTGAACCTGCAGCAGCAGCAAGCAGGCGGCGCCGCCAGCAACATGCCGAGCCTCGACCTAGCTGTGAAGCGCGACGATCTCGTGGTGGTGCTGGGCCGGACCGACCCGCTCGGCAACCCGTCCGACTGGTGGCAGTGCCGGACGCGCGACGGCCGCGTGGGCTACCTGCCGTCAACCTACCTTCGCGTGATGCCGAATCCTGCCAAGGAGAAGGCCGCCGCACAGCAGCCGCAGCAGCAGCTGCTACCAGCACCGCCGTCGGCCCCAAGCGTGGCCGGCAGCGTGTCGACGAGCAATAGCGGCGCGACGACTGTGGCACCTGCTTCGGCCACGGGTCCCGACCCGGTGATGGCCGAGAAGGCTGCTGCGCAGAAGGCGGCTGGTGCAGACACATTTATGAAGTCGGCGTTTTACCAGTCGTAGGCGAAGCGCGAGTTGTCTGTATATGTGGGTGGTGAAGGTTGTAAATGGTATGGGCGCACCAGTATCTATGTACGTTTTCTTATGTTCAATTATGTTTCATTACTTCCTGCATTACTACCATACTTTATTTATTCTTAAAAAGGGATGTTTCGTTTCTCGGGTTATACATCCTGCTTTTGCTCTTTTCTGTATTATGAGTTGATTAATTTGAGAACAGTCCATGTTGTACAGGACTGTATTTACTTGAAAATGGTTCCTTTGGTTTTGGGTTTCGTCACGAAGAGTACCAATTTATTGTATTAACGGACATACTTTTAATTTTAAATATATACCGCAAATCGAGTGAATACTACGAAAGAAACCTTCTTTGTCAATTTTTATAAAACAAACAAATAAATAAATTGAAACAAGAGCAGAGAAATGTAATATGAAATATTCTTATAACGATCGTGACTCTCAGTAGAGACAATGTCTCGCAGTAACAACGATTTGTATTGAGCTGACCTTTCGCATTTAAATTTTGCGTCTCTATTATGCAGCTAGGCCATTATAAAAATGCTGGCGTGGCAAGAATAGGTTCATATTTCGACATGATTCACGCTGTGCAGCATTGGTGAAGATATGGTATTGAGATGATCAATCAATTCAGATTCTAAGCTTTGCTGAACGGCTTGGATATGGAGACACATGTATAAGCCCAAAATACAACAACAATCAAACAGTGAGGTATTGTAGCAGAAAGATGAAATGAAAACAAAAATGTAGACCTCCTTCATACAGACATCAAAGAAGCTTTAAAATGGGATCGCAGCGACTGGAGGGGGTGAGATTGGTCGTGGCCATGCCGGTGGATAAGAAGTTGGATGTGAGTAAAGTTTTCAAATCGAGAACGTTAAAAGGAAAAAGCAGGTGTTAAAATGATGTATAAAAATGAAACCAATCTCCCCTTTTAAACTCCCTTGTCGAAATCAAACAGCGGCGGCCGGCTGCTGATGTCGTCCACATTTAGCGCTTGAAGTAGTTCTTCTCGACGGTGCGCAGGACCACGTAAGAGATGGATGAAAAGGCAAATGCCAGCTCGAAGCCGACGTCTCCGCCGTATTCGGTACCACACAGCCTGCCAATGACACCAATGTACCAGGTCTGGGCCATACCGAGGACGACGCCCATGATGCCGAAGCAGAAGGCCAGGGCGGCGGCAAAGCCGGGTGGCAGCTTGCTGGCATCGGTGTAGTCGTCGGGGTTGTAGCCCGTGAAACCCCGGCGGAACACAATATGCTCGGTCAGGGAGATGCCCTCATAGATAGCGAGCCAGTAGGCAATGATAGTCATGAAGTTCTCGAGCCATGTGGCGAAGTGGTTGTAGCCGGGGATGGCAATCGCAATGTAGACACCGGTGCCGATCAGGACCCAGATGAAGCGGGGGATGCGCTGGGTTTCCTTGTGCATGACCTGCAGAGACAGGGAGACGGAGTAGATGTTGGGGCAGTTGTTGGCGATGATGGACAGGGCGAGGATGACAAGGCAAAATTGGCCGAAGCGGCCCAATGGCGGGACGAGAACCATGGCCATGAGACCACCAATACCACCGTCATAGTAGGCGTTGGCAAAATCGGCATCGTGAGCGGCGGCGGTCATAACAGCGGCGCCCAGCAGCTCCGTCAAGAGAAGGGGAAAGTACAGACCACCAAAGGTCCAGAGGAAGACGGAGCGCCGGGTGCGCGTGACGGGCTGGTAGACGGTGTAGTCGGCGGCGTACGAGGTCCAACCGGTACCGAAGCCAAAGACAGACGCGGCAAAGGAAAGGACGGCACCAGCCTCGCCGCGGCCGGTCGCAAGGGGCAGCAGGTTGCTGAACTTGCCGGTGTGGCCAAACTCGGCGGCGACAATGATAAAGATGATGAGACACGGAATCCACGACCAGCGTTCGTAGATGTGGACGATGCGGTAGCCGAAAAAGCAGACGAAGAGGGTGGAGAAAGCGATGACGAGAATGCCGGCCCAGCCGGGCATGTTGCTGTTGACGGCGTTGAACAGCTGGGCGCCGACAATGACGTTGGCGGCGGACCAGCCTATGCAGGCAATGACGTTGAAGAACGCGACTGAAGTAGGTGTGTAAGTGGGTGCCCATCCAAAAAAAAAAATTAAATACGAATAGAGACAAGGAAGCACATACTGAGCTTAACAAAGTGGTAGCCGAAGAAGAAGCGGGACAGCACCATCTGGCGCAAGCCGAAGCGAGGACCAAACGTGGAGAAGAAGCAGACGGGAGTAATGGCGAGGGCGTTGACGAGGACGATTGTCAGAGCGGTGTCGACAAAGCCCAGTTCGAAAATGGGCTCGGCGAGGGCGCCAATGGCAAAGGACGACACGACCATGTTGGCAGAGAGCCACTGATCGCGGTGTTAGCAGATGCTGCCCTGTGTTTTCTACATTGATCTCAATTCAACTCGACATTTTTTTTTTTTGTTTCTGTGACATACCATTGTGCCGACTTTGGTCATTGTGGTGTCAGTGCGCTCATCTTCGGGGACGCGCTCAATACCGCGCTGCTCGACACCCAGCTTGCCGGCCATGCGCTGCAACTTTGCGTACCAGGAGTCGCCGACGGTGAAGTCGGCCTGGTGGACGACATTTTCGTTGCTGGTGTAGCCAACGCCGACGTCGTCACTGCCGCCCATGAAAGTCTCGCTGGTGTCGTACTCGTCCTTTTTGTTCATGATGACGGTTGAATCACAACGACAGGAAAACAAGACGAGTTGAGGTGGGCCAATCCGTTTTGTTGCGTAAAACGATCCCTGGTGTGTTGACCAAAGGTTTGCGGTGACCGTATGGGTGAGCCTGAAGACGAACGAGACAAGATGTTGTTCGAGACCAAAACGAGGGTTGGAAGGCCGGAGTTTATATAAGTGGCATTCCTGTTGTATTCGATGTGGTAAGGGGGTGCGGGCAAGAACGAGAGAGACGAACGGGCAGGGGTGAGAGAAGGGGTGGGCACCGTGAGATTGACAACGGACGACACAAAACGAGTAACAAAGATTGAGGAAAGATAGAAGATGATAATGAGGAGTTGTCAAAAGGCAGAAAGAGAGCAGCGGCGTTAGTGCCAAGAGGGATGGGGGGTGGGTGTGCGGTTTGGTGGACCGGGTGTGGTATCAAGATAATAGACGTTGGCAGAGCTGGGTCCTTGTCTAGGGTTTTTTTTGGGGGGGGGGGGGTGGCAATTGCGTGCGGTCGAGCTTCTGATCTCGCGCAGCGCAGAGACCAAATGTGTACGGGGGGCGCCGGAGAGCAAACAGGAAACAAACTGAGAAACGAGGAAAACAGGGAATGCGGCGAAGGCGATGAGCGCGAGGCTCTGGGCGGGCGAGATACGGGTGAGTGGTAGAATGAAAAAATAAAGAAAATAAAAAACCAAAAAAGAAGCAAAAGTGAGCACACGAGGCAACAGCGATGTGAGCGGGAAGGGTATTTTCGGGGGTGCTGGATTGTGAGCTTGACTATTTTTTCTTGTTTCTTTTTTTTCTTCTTCTTGTTTTGTCTTGTCTCTGCCCTCTTTCTTAGTACGGTTTCGTTTTATTCCCTCGCTTTTTAATGGCCGGCTGGCAGGATCGAAAGCTAGACCAGACCAAAAAAGGTTGTTCTGTAATCGTTCTGGGCTGTCCAGAGTAGTGCCGGACGAAGAGATAGAGGCGGGTTGCAGAGAGATAAAGGTCTCGCGTCGTGGATGGAGTGTTGCAGTGGATGCGGGTTTTCGTGAGTGCCTTGGACGCCCGCTTTTGTCAAGTCTCGCAGACTGCTTCTTCTTCGTGCACAGTACTGTAACAGAAAGTGTCGTCTCCTCTTTGAAAGTGAGTAATATTCGGCTGCGTGTTGACACTTCTTGAAAAGTGTAGGAGGGCGAAGAAAGAGGCCGAGAAACCGGTACTAGGGCTTGTGAACTAGTGGCAAACGTTCACGAGAAAGAGGGTCCAGTCGAGTCGAGGTGACAATAAAGAAAAGGAAACAATGACTCGGCGAGAAACGGCAAAAACGAAGAGATACGCGCAAAAGCACCAGACAGGCAGACGAACACAAATGCACAAAAGCACAAATGCACAAATGCACGACCGCACAAGGTACCAAGGAACCGGAGCTTTGCTTGTGCTCCGTTACCTCGTCCTCGAGGACGCGGAAAATACGATAGAGAGTGCTTCTACCCCGTTCAAGAAAATGGACGAGAAAAGGTGGAAATGGCGGGCGGACAAGTGCGGCAGGCGGTCCAAACCTGGTCCCTGGTCCGACGTTCCCTGTAGATCAGCACAGAAACAGAGGAGCTGGGATGTGAGCACCGACTGGCTGGCTGAAAACCGTTCCAAGTGGTGGTGTCGGGGCAGTGGTTGTAGTTGGTTCGCGTGGAGGACCAGAGAAAAGAAAGAAAAGAACGAATGAAAGGAGGAGAGAGAGGAAACGAAAGAGGAGACTCAGAGACTGCGGTGTTGACAGAACAAAAAGGGCAAGTATCCACGATAGCAGGACGTCAGGAAGGTGGTGATGCAGTTGGCTGCCCACTGCTCTTTCCGGTGTAGAGCTGCATCTCCAAATATGATGCGTACCTGCCGTGCGTGCTGATTATGATCACTGGTACATGACTCGAAAAAGTGGTTGATGAGGAAAGCGCGAGGCACAGATTACGTTCGGTCTTTCCCCTGGCATCGCGTGCACGTCGCACCTGCCTTTGTATGGGGACGGCGTCTGTTGTTCTACCGTCTACCACTGCGCCTGGTGCACACACTTGAAGATTGTAAGCGCACTGGGTATTTCAGGCACGTCGTCAGAGCTGGGAAAGTGCGCCCAGAGATACGAAGCGTCACGGCAGGCACGACGGTGAGACCGTGGAGCCCGGCCCTCTGGCCTTTGAACATCCATCGGTGGCCCTTTCCGTAAACCCATGTCGTGCAGGTATTGTGGTGTTCTGCAGGGAAAGCGCAGCCAGGAATGAACGCAGACCGCTCGAGGAGCAAACGTGCCCACGAAGGCAGGCGCGACCCTGCCAACAACGAAGCAGTCAGGCTGTGTATTTCTTTCTGTCGATTTTGTCCCTGGTCGGTCTCACGGGTTGTCCTCTGTACGACGTAGCCTCGAGACAGCCTATGCCTCTTCTCCTCGACCATGTCTCATTATTTTGTCATTCTCGAGATCTCGTCCCTTTTCCTTCCATTCTCTGTGTCGTTTCCATGTGTATTGCTTCCCTCAATCAAAACCCCACAATCGCCGCTACCCGTCAAACATTTTTTCCCTAACTGGGGCGAATACTGTGTTGGGACTAGTCCATTGCCTCAATTCGGCAGGTCAGACCGTGAGTCGGTCGCAACTTTCCCTGGCGCGTGCCTGCCAAATCGTTAGCCAATCCGCTTGGCGTGCTTGTTTTGATTTTACGCCAGCGTATTATTCCTGAATTCCCACTTGCGAAACTGGCCTTGGCCCACAAGCGAATCAGTAATACTGTGGGAAGCGACACTCAGTTACGATACGACTTTGACACAGACTTCGAGATACGACATTCAGACGATGCAGAGACGCAGAGACGCAGAGACGCAGCGGGTCCAAAACGTGCTGGCCCGCGTCTCGGCTCCATTGCCGTGCATCAACTTCAACCTCCGGGTCTCGGGTCTCTTCGGCTGCCCTTATTCTTTTGCCGTCTTTTCTTCGCGGGCTGGCCTTGCACATGCACACCGTCCGGACCCTGTGCTGCATCTGTCCAGTAGGTGCGGGTGAGTGGGCGTGGTGTCTCGGGCGCTTTGCTTACTGTGAACTTAGTGCGATCGAGGGTGATGCATAACTGCTGAGCAGGCCACCGGAGGCGCTAGACTACCTTGCTTGCGCAGACGGTAGGACAAGCAACAAGCAAAATATTACGCACGACGACGTACGACGACGTATGAGCACGACTTGGCACAAGCAAGATGGTAGGGTGGTGGCCGATGCTTGCTGCGGCGGGATAGCGGAGAGATGCAGCTGCCAAACATGTACAAACCGTTCGCTGGCACCAGCACGACTGCCTGTCTTTGAACGGTCACGGCCGTCATCTCGGACGTTTCCGAGAACAACGCTGACATTGGGGCACTGTCCTTCGATTTCAAGTCGTCCAACTGAAGCAGCTGTGTTTATGAAATTCGGGATGGCAAACAGTCAAAGGAAGTGCCCCATTCAGCCACGGTCTTCACAATAAACCCCTGCGACTCCCGCAGTAGTCTTCTACGCCTGGGCTCTTTGCGCTCGCCCGCCCTCCTCTTGACGCGCATATTTGCTTCAGCAGCGGCGCCCTCGTACAATCTACACTGGTGGTGTTGAGGTGTCAAGCAGTCCGACCATGGCCTCTTATCTCTGGTTGATCATTGGACAAAGTCACGTCGGTGTTTTCCTTTTGGGCATAGCCTGTGCTTAGAGTTGGGGACGTTTGAGTGACCGTGTGGTAGGACTTTGGTGGACGACGGTCGCCTGCTCCAATTTTGATTTGCCAGTGTACTGTCATCAACTACGTCGTGTTACTGGTTGGCTAATGCTCTGCCGCCGCAGATAAAGAAGACCGACAGAGGTGTATCTGTGGCGGTCGACACGACGGGACAATGCCAACAAAACAAAAACAACTTGCCTACACAAAGTCACAACAGGGCCGTCCCAAAACGAACATACTTCTCGAGGCGAGGCTGTGCCTCTGTTTATGCACACCCTTGTCTAAAGTCTTGGTATCTAGAACCGAACGAATTGTGGCCTCTGAGTGGCCAGATGGATTGACCGTGATATTGGATGCTGTTTACAATGGAAGCAGTACCACACGCCCGAAAGATGAGCAAGGCATGAACGCTTAATGAGGGGAGCTCAAAGGCAAGACAACAAGGATCAAGAAGCAAAGGTCAAACAAAGAACGAAAACAAGCACAACTTCCCCGCGCACCATTGCCAATTCCCCTAGCGGCGTCACAACCGTCTGGGGCTTGCAGCATTAACCCATACTCCGTATTTCACATTTGATTTTTTTTACGTTTTCAAAAGGCAGAATGGGCGTCATAAGGCCACTCAACTCCAGTTTGTTCCAGGCTTTTAATGTCGATCGTGAGCCGCTAACACGGTGGTCCTTTGTTTGGCCACGAGGCTGGTCGGTAATGTATGGCCGTGGATCGTTTGAGGTGGGCGAGCGCTCACATCTCGGCCGGCGGGTTACGTTTCGAACGGGTCTGGGGTCGGCGGGAAACGGCCGTCTATTTTCTGGAGCTACCGTCGAGACCCATCGTCCCTTGGACGATTGCTTTTGAGCAATACGTACTACCGTCGAAAGCACAGTTTCCAACCCACTTCCACAAAGTGCCCCTCGCCTCTCACGCTTTGCGTCTATGCTGGCTCGCACCCAATAACAACACGCGGCAAGGTACAGAGTAAATACCCGCCCAGTAGGAAATACGCCGCATTGGCAACGAGGTCCATGCCAATTTACATATGAGAGAACGTGGAAAGCCCTTTGGGAGATCCATGCAGCGCGTCCCAACCATCCAGCATCGGAAAGTGGGTTTGCGGGTGAGTCGCACGAACTACGCCGCAGTATCAACCCTTTTTATGGATCCCGCGCCACATAACCTCACATCCCCCCGTCTTTTCCCCAGTCTTGGGTGGTTCTTTCCGCTACCGAGCGATAGGGAAGCTTCCCTTTTCCTTTTTTCTTTTCGTCGCCCAATGCACACCCCCCCTCCAAGAGAGTTTAGCTTTGTGTCTTGGTTTGTATCTTTATTTTTGGGCTGAACCGTCCGTGTAAGCCAAGAGGGGGGGATGCGAGGGAGGTATCCCGCATGAGGTGCGGACAAGAGCATCAACAGCTCGTCCGCTTCAGGGATCTCAAGACGGCATCATAAGTGGAAGTTTTCTTGCTCCATTTCGCCAATTGACCGTGGTGACCTCACATTTCAGGAATCGGATTCAACGGATGTTCGGAAGGAAAGAAAACGATGAACAGAACACGACATGCGAAGAGGAGAACCTCGGCCTCCATCCACCTGCGTGCGGCGGGCTCCGTGCCTCTCGTCCGTCTTCCTTCAAGCTTTGTTCGACTTTTGTTCGACTTTTGCCCCAGCAATGCTCACAAAGCTCTCTCTCCACATAATACCGCCCTATTGTCCATTTTCGTAAAATTGACATGCAAGTTGCATGCACGCTGCTCAGGGCACTCACACACCCTGTGTTACGGCACCACACAAGCACAACGCACGCATAGCCTTTGCCAATACGACGTACAGTGCATATCCCTCATATCACTGCCGCCCCTGACAGTCGTCGCACAACAGCAATATCAAAAAGCGGACACAACGTTTGTCGTTGACCCCTATATGCTCCATTCCGAGAAGTAGACCATGACCGGCAGGGGTTGCGATCGAGGTCGAGGAAGGTTAAGCTTGGAGTGGAAGCCGGACCCAAGACCGCGCTGTGGTTGTCGTAAAACATGTGCAACATAATTAAAATGAAGAAGAGAGACACATAGTACCCTTTTTCTCCTTTTCTCTTTTTTTGGCCCTATTCTAGACGCTATATTCATCCCCTCAAACATTCAATTCAGACTTTCGCTGGTGACACTTCCTGTTGTGAGTACGCCATGTGCTGCCGGTCGTACCTTGATACAACACCTTCTTCAATTGCTGTCAAGAGGGAATATAACAACAGAATAAATAACGCCATGTGTTGATATATAGGAACAGATCACGGAACTTACGGATAGTGTCCCGGAACGGGTCATTGGAACGCTCTCGTCGTTGCTTTCAGCCACTCGCAGATGCGGCGTGTCAACTATGTACTGTTCCCCCTCTGTGACTGCAGAATATAATTATACTTGGCTAACCATTTGCGAGAAATTTGCCTTTGCAGTTTGGTAGTACGAACTTTCGATGGCGATTTTGGTATCCCCTGGCGCTGTCGAGTGCTACCATGGGATGGTCCCGGGCGGCGAGCCGCTTCGACAACAATGCATAACTACAAAGTACACTACAAACTGGTGGACATGTCTTCACGTCGTCCGTCCTTGTTGCCGGAGGTTTTCATCGGACAGTCGCACTTGCCACTGTTCCGTGTCCTGGCCGGGCAATTGTGGGGCCACAACGGGACGACCCACTGGTGCCACCGCTGTCCGCGTTGCTGGCAAGAAGCCAAGGCGACTTCCGGCGACATCGCCTTTGGCGTAGAGCTGAATCGCCATCTTGGTGTCAAACCGGGCAATGACCATGAAGCCAATGGAGAGAACTTTTGCGGTGAATCCCGTATTATAGACAGGGCTGGCCGCGCAAGCTGGTCCGCTTGTTTGTATATATATTTGGCTCGGCACGTCACAGGACTTGCGCGCGAAGGCGAAGGCACTCAAGGTCAAGGCGGCCAGCATGGTGCCGACAATTGCAAAAGGTTTGGCCAGTGTCCGTGACTAGTCTGCTACGGCGTCTGGCGACAGCTCTATGGTTGTACGCATCTACACGCCCGACGACGCCGAGGCATCACGGCCAGCCGTAGTATCGTAGATTTTTGTCATTCTTCCCAGCTCTCTTGATCACATTGTGGCTTGTGGGGTGCGTGCCAGCTAGGCCACCGGGGATTCGTCGCCGTCCACGGTGGTGCCAGCGGCTGTCCGTACGCATACATGCGTGACATGGTTGCTGGTCGGTATAAGCGGAGGACGCTGAGGCGGTCGTACGGGATGGTACTGTGTATGGGCTCACTGTACCAACATCACCTTTTGTCGATGAAATGGAACGTAAGAGACGAGAGACATAAAAAGAGTGACGATCTAGAGAATAAACCCAAACAAGTCAGCTGGCGAAGACAAACGAGAAGCAGCTCCGTACATCCGATAGTGACATTAAAGCGAAGCAGATATATCCAACAGAGTGCTGTGCTGTCGATCAACATTGTGGAGCTTTTGGCCAGAGTCTGGATGACGATGACTCTATCACGACGATTGTTGAATCGTTTTATTGGCTTGAAAGCCGATGGCTGTGCCTGCGGCTAATGCCCTTGCGTTTGTGGGAAGCGAATGAGTGTTGAAGTAAGTTTGTTGACAGAAGAGAGAAAAGTGAGGAAAGGAAAAAAAGAGAAGATGACACCTTCAGGTTGTCGGTAAGTATTCGATAGTAGGGAAGGAGTCACGCTTAGGACATGGCTTTATCATGGTAGGAGCGAGTGAGTGAATTTGCCCAATATGGAAGGACGACCGTAGACCTCCGCGGATCGTAACTTCCAGTTGATGGTATGGCGTTTGGCACAGCCTTGGTTGCTCCTTCCCAGTCCCACGTAACCACAGGTTGGCCACTGTCTCCTTCTATGGTATCCCACCGCTTCTCCCCTTCTCCTCTTTCATCTCTTTGTGTATATCACCACCATATGCGACAGTCAGCTCGAAAAGATCATGATAGTATCATTGTTTGACAGTTCTTCTTTCGATCGCGATCTAATGCGCACCTGCATCAGTTCCTACACATACCCAGCATCGCGTAATGAATTCCGGCCTACGTCTACGTTTCCAATGTGACAGGAACAAGGTTTCTCATGGACGACATCTTTGCAGGTATGAATCGAAGGGAGTTGGTCCAATTGGGAACAAGTGAATTGGAAGTTGATTTTATCGGTCAATATCGAAACACGCGATCCGTCTAAGAGAAGGACTCTACCGCGAACGGTGTACAGAGAGAGTCAATGCACACTAACAAACGTACACGGCCAGACAAACAGGGAGACAGAAACCCAAAAAGCACTGAAAGCATACATGGAGTGTGCAGCCCGTGGTACAATCATACTATCTCACCATCGGGACAATCCGCCGTTGGTCTTGCGTTTTCCATCGCTGTTCCATTGACAGACGAACCGGGTCTCCCTCACAGCGACTCCTTGATGAAGTTGAGCAGCAGCGGGCCGATGCGCGACGCCATGACCTTGTCGCCGCTCAGGTTGGGGTGAATGCCGTCGCGGAGGTCGCTCGTGGGGAAGTCCGTGTTGCAGTCGGCAATCACAATGGGCGAGTCGGTGCTGTTCAGGCCCGTCGCCCATGCGGGGATGGCCTTGTTGATGTCGATGACGCCTTGGGGCATCACCGGCAGCGGGAGGACCTTGTCGACAATGATCTTGATCTTGGGGTTGGCGGCACGCGCCACCGTCACGATTTTGGTGTAGGCGGCCATGATGTCTGCCGTCTTGTGGCGGCCCGTCACGTCGTTGGTGCCCAGCATGAACATGACAATGTCGGCCGGCGTGTTGGCCATCCACTTGGTGATGTAGTTGTTGGCAATGTCAATGGCCAGCCAGCCCGAGTGGCCCTCGTGGTGCTGGTCCCAGTTGGCCGTCTGGGGCTTACAGTTTTGCGGGTTGCTTTTCTGCGAGCCGACGTACTCCACCTTGTCGGCGTACCCAGCCTCGGCGATCATGTCCCATACAAGTGCGCGCCAGCAGGTGATCTCCGTGATGCTGTCGCCCAGGGGCATGATGCGCAGCTTGCCGGCAGCGGGTGCGGTGGCAGCCAGCTCAGCAGGAGCAGCAACAACGGCCGAGCCAAGGAAGGCCGCGGCGGCCAGGAGCATAGACGGTGCATGCATGGTTGGAGAAAATTGATAGGGGGGGAATGACAAGGGGATCGGAAGAAAGATTGAGGTGACGAGAGAAGGTAAAAAAGCAACGAGGGTAATACGATCTAAAGCCCGTTTGCCAACAACGACACTGACAGCAGCCAACACCTACCATTGATCACCATTCGGGAGGGGACAGCAACTATATCTACTCGAGAAACATCCAATGGAACCTTGCGAGTCATATGTCCACGACGGACTACGGCGATTATCTGACTTCTGCTTCCGTTTCGGACTCTACCTTGCAGTTCCCAATATAAGTCGGCACATATAAACAACTGGTGTAAGTCTTTTTTTGTTTCCTTTCTAGAACGCCGCACCTCAATGCGCGTAGAGTGCTGCATCGTGGCCCCGCGGAAGACGTCAGGCGAATTGCGCGGAGATCAAGGCACCACGTTTTATTGCCCTTTGGACCGTGGTGCTCATATGTCGTTAATTGTTTTCAGGGTTTGTATAGGCCAGTCCGATACAACTTTTACTCGACCCTCCACTTATCCCGACTCGCTCTTACCCATTAATGGTCCCTAATTTTCCCCATTGGTCGACGAATGGACCAGTTCTCCGGGATAAATGAGTCGCGACGGCTTCATCCCTATGCGTTTGCACATTCTACCGTCCCGGCGGCAATTTACAGTTGATGAAGTGGAGAGTAAGCTGTTACCTGTGCTCGTAGCGTCCATGTGCTTGTTCTTTTGGCTTATTTGGCCCGTTATATTGACAAAATGGTATAGTGCTTAGCGGATAGTGACTTAGTTATAAAACTGATATATTTCTTGAGGACCACTTTCCGGAGTAGCGGGGCCGGATACAAACAACAGGCGGAGAGGCCAAGGCAGGGCGATAGAGGGCAATTTAGGTGGAAAGTTCGTAGTGAGTGGATTTGGTATGAAAACAGAGAGTGAATGGAGAAGGGAATGAAGGAAGAAGGAAACAAATAAAAGGGGCAAACTCCAACTCAAAGACATCATATTAAAATACTCATCAGGACATAATACTCACAAACAGCAACACTACAGTCTTTACGTCCACACAGCAAGAGGACTATGCAAGCTCCTTTTATATTTTATAATGTGCCTTTGTTGGAATGTAAGTGGCCTGGCAGCTATAGGGATTCTCCTTGTTGGGTTCCGGGATTCGGAATCTAGTAAAGAACCGTCGTATCTCTCCTCAGCGACAACGCAATATTGATCTGCGGGTTCCTACATGTTCGAATCTCCATCCATGTCGAGTGAGAGCGCTTCAACGGTCGAAAGGAAACACTGGTACGGATGTCGGTTCAACCTGAACTGTAAACGAGCTCGGGGAAGTGGAGGATATGGGGTAAACAGACGACGAGTATCAAATTATCCGGACAAACCAGCTAGTATGAGGCCCCCCGTCCTGTCTCTCTGTACTCCGTGTGATGGGGGTGTGTCCTTCGGCGTTCTCCTCCCCACTTGCTTGCCATTCCAGCCTCTCCTTGAACGTTGAACCAGCACCGGAAGTGTTTATCACTTGGCTATTTGAGGGCGCAAGGAGGTGGAACGTACCAGGAGCGCAATATGAACGGTGGAGCCGCCTATATTTCCCGAGAGGGGGAACATGGGTGCCTTCCGGGGAAATGGAACCAGAGTGCCTGGGGAACGCCAGCCTCGGGCATTCTTACAGCTTGGCTCGCTCTATCCCAAATTCACTCAGGTCCAGGTACCGCGTGTCGAGCTCTGCCACGTCCGCGACACCCAGCAGCCGCAACGTCGTCTGGATCTCGTCGCTGAGAATATGCACCGCACGCAGCGCTCCGGCCGTGCCGTAGGCGCTCAGCGCATACAAGAACCCACGACCCAGACCAACGGCTCTGGCACCCAGACACAGCGCCTTGACGACGTCCGTGCCGCGCAAGACGCCGCCGTCAACATAGACGGGCAGCAGGTCAAACACCTGGGGCGCCCGGCGACGAAGGTCCAGCAGCGTCCGCACGCTCGTGGGCGCATAGTCCAGCTGGCGACCACCGTGGTTGGAGAGGTAGATGCCATCGACAAGGCGTTTGCCGTCTGCGTCGACCTGTTGCGTGGCCAGAAGAGCATCCTCGGCCGTTTGGACCCCCTTGAGCAGAATGGGGTGCTCGGAGCCCCAGCACTGCCGGATCCATGGCAGGTCGGACCATTCGAATGTTGCGTTGTGTGCTGCTCGCAACGTCCCGGACTCCTGCCCGGGGAGAGGTGGCAAAGCTTGTGACTCGTTCCCCGTGTCTTCCTTACTTTGGGAGCCGCCGCCGTCCACTGCTGCTGCTGCCAGTGCCTGGAACTGCGCGTCGTCGTCGCGCTTGCCAATCACCGGTGCATCCACGGTCACTACCAGCGCTTGGTACCCGGCCGCCTTGGCCACGGCGATCAGCTTCTCCGCGTCCTTCTTGACCCGTGGGATGTACAGCTGGAAGAACAGAGCACCCCCGCGCTTGTATGGGTCTCTGAAGAACTCGGACGCAATGTCGGCCGCCGCCACCGATGCGTAGGTGCTCACGCACTGCGCAATGTCCATGCGTGCCGCCGTGCGTGCCAGGCAGAGCTCGCCGTCCGGGTGGCCGAAGCGTGCATGCGCCGCAGGTGCAATAAATACCGGCAGGCTGCTGTCGAAGCCCATGACATTGGTGCGCATCTTGGGCGTGGGGCCGACATTGATGAGCACGCGCGGCCGCAAGCCTATGCGAGACCAGTCGCGGCGGTTGCGGTCGCGCGAGTACCGCGTCTCGGCGCCACTGTTGTAGTAGGCCGCTGCACGCGGTGACAGCTTGACAGCAGCAACTTGCGCAAGGTCCTCAAGCGACATGCACGCGGAAAGAGGGAGAGCAACAGGCACTTGGATTTGCATTGCAGTTGGCGATAGTGACGAAGGCGATGGTGACGGCGTTGACGTCTGGGTCACGTTTGATGTCGTAGGAGCTCCGTTCACGGGCCCGAGATGCTTGTCCTTTGGTAAGGTCTCCATGGTGCCCGGCGGGTGCAGCGGTTCGTACTCGGCTGTTGCATCGTGCCCGGCAAACCGCAAAATCGATCGTGCGCCGCCTGGATGCTCGTCGAGAAAGTCTGTCACATCGTACGCATGGCCGGCCACAATCACCCAGCAGGATGACCGTGACTTGTGCGCAGCAACCTCAGCAACGGACGGCATTTGGCCGTAATGACGACGATGGCAACAATAGAGGCAGTCAACTGCTGTGATTAGGTCGTTGCTGAATATATGAAGTTGGACGGGGCTTTGATTCATCATCCATGGTATTCATCGCAGTTCGGTCAGCTTGTGACGTTTCCTCTCTGTATTTCTCTTCATACTTATCCTCCGCATTGGTCATGCCACCATGTCGGCGGTTGAATACGCCATCTCCGTCTTACTGACTTTGTCTAGGCCCGCACTCCCTATGCGGGTCTCTGCCTCTCTGCGGAGACCCTGCATAAGCTATCGCAGTACGACGTAAATCAAGAATCGCGTGATGGGCGAACGGGCGAATCAGGTGCTTCGAATGCCAAGCGCCCTAATTAAATATTGTCAGAACAGGTGTAAAGCATTATTGAATTATCCAATACCTGAATTCATTACTGACGTCTCTGTTTCTTACCTCAGTTGCAGTCTCGACATCGACCTGAAAAGACAAGATACAGAGATGCAATGAGGCTTCAAAGATGGGCGATTGTGCGTGCTGACGTAAGATACAATAACAAACAAAATAAGAAGGAAGACATGCTTTGTGGCCGGAAGGAACCAACCAAAATTGATAACACGTGATACACTTCCAGTGCCTTCCTTTCCCCCTACCGTCACCTTATGCAGCCGCTTTCACCGTCTCCTCTCAGTTGGGCAAATGCAGCGCCTGGATATTGCAATACTGCTTCAGGCCGTCGATGCCACCCTCGGCGCCCAGCCCCGACCATTTATACCCAACCAACGGCGCCAACGGATGCCGTACCAGGTGCGAGTTGACCCAGACGTTGCCAGCCTCGAGTTGGCGCGCAATCTCGCCTGCGTGCTTCAGATCGCCGGACCAGACGGACGCGCCCAGGCCGAGCTGCGTGTCATTGGCGCGACGAAGCACGTCCGCCTCGTCCGACCACTTGAGCAGCGGCACAGTGGGCCCAAACGCCTCCTCGACAACGATGCGGGCCGTGTCCGGCGGGTTGTCAACAACGACCGGACGCACAAAGTAGCCCTTGCCGGCCCCGGCCGTGTCTGTGGCCGCGGCGAGTGCCGCATCGCCACCCACGACGTTGAGCTTCGTGTTGCGCACGTCGTCCAACAGTGCCAGCACTTGGCGGTACTGGAACTCCGTGGACAGGGGGCCCATGAACGGTGCGGCCGCCGGGTCGCCCGCTCCAGCGAAGCCATCGCCATACGGAAGCGCATTGGCCACGGCAACAAAGGCGTCCCGGAATGCGTCATAGATGTCGGCGTGCACATACAAGCGCTTGATGCTGACGCAAATCTGCCCCGTGTTCATGAAGCACGCCTGTGCGATGGCGGCCGCGGTCGCCGCCACGTCGGGGATGTCCGGGAACACAATGGCGGCGTCGTTGCCGCCGAGCTCCAGCGTGACGCGCTTTAGCGTGCGGCTGCAGCTCTCCATGACGCGCTTCCCCGTGGCCACGGAGCCGGTGAAGCTGACCTTGTCGATGCCCGGGTGCGCGGTCAGCCACGGCCCGAGCTGGTCATCGCCGCTGAGACCCTGGACGACGCCCGGCGGGAAGTATTGCTGGGCCAGCTCGGCCAGCTTGAGGTTGGCGCAGGGCGCGAACGGCGACGGCTTCATGATGAACGTGTTGCCTGTAAGCAGGGCAGACGCCATTTTTAGAGAAGCAAGCCCGACGGGGACTTTCTTTGGGGGGCGCGCAGGCAGAGTCAGCACGAGGTTTCAGGGATGAGCTTCGCGCGCGATACACATGCTGCAGTCGCAGAACGCTGGTGACTCACAGTTCCATGGCACAATGCCACACGCTACGCCCAGCGGCGTGAATCGCCTAAGGACCGTCTGTCCGCCGCTGGCCTTGTCGTCGGCGACTACCTCGTCCACGAGCTCGAGGCTGGCCGTCTGCTTCAGCTGGTCGACCGTCATGGTCACCTCCAACTGTGCCAGCGCCAACGGGCGGCCCTGCTCCCGCGTCAGCATAGTCGCGAAGCCGTCGATGTTGGCCGCCACACCGTCCGCAAATGCCTCCAGGGCAGCGCGACGCTTGGCGTAGGGCACCTGGCGCCATGTGGCAAACGCCGTTCGAGCGGCCTGTACGGCGCGGTCGACGTCGGCCTCGGTCGAGACGGGCACGTCGGGGTTGGCTTCGAGGGTTGACGGGTTGATGCTGTGGCGCGTGATGGCTGTGGTCGTCTTCTGGCCATCAATGATGTTGTAGAATGTGGAAAAATCGAGCAGTGCCGGAGATGGCCCTCCTTCGGTTGTTTTCCCCGTCTCAGTCGTCATGGCGAAGGATTTCCGTGTGTCTGGTTGAATTGGATTGTACTGTGTTTTTGGTCAGCCAGACTTGGCAGTGCGTTCCCTGGCTGCCACCGCAACTGTCTATATTCTTTACCTATCGTCTTCCTGCTTGTCACTCTCTCCCACCTACTTCTTCTCAGATATTGTTATGAGTTGTTGGATAGGTAGCCACGATAGCGATTAGTATGAAAAGGGTAACACAGTCGCACGGCGAAAGTAAGTATGTATTGGAATGAGAACGTAGTCTTACGATATCATCTCATTTCAAGAAGTGGAAGGCCCTTATATATCTGAAAAGAGGCGAAAATACGTGTGCATTGGAATGAGAACGAAGTCTTATCCTCCAGACTCGCCGTCTCACTTCTTGAAGTGAGACGGCTCTTTTATACCTGAAAAGAGGAGGAGGTACGCGTCACCGTATGTATTGCAATGAGAGCGAAATCTTACCCTCCAGTCATACCCTCACTCTTCAAGTAGTGAGGGGGACTTTTCTTGTCGGAAAAGAAGTTGGTCATTAGCTCCGTGGATGTGATCCGCGGAGCGTCATGGGCAGTCAGACGCCCCAGATATAATGCAGTATCAATACGACGTATTAACTAACCAATGACTCGTGGCCCGCTCCACATTTTCGGGGAGAGCGGCATCTCCCGAAACTCCGTTTCTTAGTGTCTGAATAAGGACTCTGCTTGTATGTTGTAAATGGATGTAAGCTGTTCAGCTCGTTCGCACGGCCCGGGCCGCGCAAAGATTGTGATGGACTGTTGAAGGCGGACCCGGCAGTTGTGCCCGTCAAGGCCTTGCGCGTCAGTTGCACCTCGGAGAGCATTGTCCCTGAACTCAGGGGGGTATGTCCACGCCTCGATTTTACAAAGTAGCCTCGAAACTGGCCACTCTTCATACTGTGAATTTACAGTGTTTACACAGTATAGAGCCCGAAAAACAAGGACAGTCAAATGAGTTGAGACCCCGCAGTTTTTGTTTCCCCAAGAACCGTGTTTTAAGCTTAGCTTCCTCGGCAAGTCAAAAACGACTCAGACCCGACAGAACATTCCATACCGCACATCCTCGTTTCACTTTCTACCGACGACGCTGGTATCTGATTCCTCCTCTCCTCCCGACCTCCCGAGTCCTGTTTATCTCACGAAGGGTGCCTCCAATACCGTCCGCCCCTCTTACTATGGCCGGATATCGTGTTGTCACGGATCTGACCGTAATCTTCTCCTCGACAATTTCTCCCCCCAACTGCGAATGGGACCCACGAATATGGCACCGTTTAGAGAAAGAGCTCTACGTACATACATCCCAGCAGAGTGCGTGGCTATATGTAGCGTCAGTAAATACGAAAGAGCTTTCAGCTAAGGACCTGTTGGTTACGGATATCACAGTTGGCGTTGTGTCTCCGGGTCGTTCATGGGAGAGGCGACCTTGCAATATCTGGATACTAAGGAGCGAATTCTCTGACGGGACTAGCCAAGTTGTGACAGAGGTGGACGTTCTTTTCGGTGTGGATGCCGTCGACCCAAGATCAGGATGGACTCTCATAGAAGCCTCGCTGCAACTCGGTGTTCCGCCCAGCGTACCGGTTGCAAGACTTAGTGTACTCAAGGGCCGAGCCAAGCCGAACCCTCGGGTGTCTTTGCAGTTTAAAAAGGACGGCACATTCAACATTGTCCAGATCTCTGACACGCACATGGGCACTGGTGTCGGGGTATGCAGAGATGCTGTTGATGCCCATGGGGAAGATCTGCCAGAGAGCGAGGCTGACCCACTTACGGTTGCCTTCATCGAAAACATCCTGAATGTCGAGCAACCAGACCTTGTTGTTCTCACTGGAGATCAGGTGCACCACGACGTCCCCGACAGCCAATCTGCCCTCTTTAAGGCAGTTGACCCTATCATTAAGCGTCGGATTCCATTTGCAGCCGTACTTGGCAACCACGATAGTGAGGGCAAGTTCGCATTATCACGTAAGTGTCAGCCCAACCAGATGACGATTGACAAGACTCTCCCTATCTCACGAACATTCTCTCGGAATGAAAACTGTTGATTATTACTGACTTGGTTCTAGGAACGGTACAGATGGACATACTTCAAAATCTACCTTTTAGCCTCTGCGAGCCAGGCCCAGAGAATGTTGATGGTATCGGCAACTTTTCCGTTCAGATCCTTGCTCCCGCGCCGTCACAGTTCCCACTAGCAACGTTGTATTTCCTGGATTCGCACGGTCAAGTTGGGGGCACGGCAGGTAATCCCGACTACGCCCCCATTCAGCAAAGCCAAATTGACTGGTTCAGGGACACCTCCCAAGCGCAACGAAGCGCGCGTGAGAAACACGATAATGACAGCGACTTTCATCTATCCCTAGCTTTCCAACACATCCCTCTTCCCGAATTTGGTGACGAGGGTCTCAGCATCCACGGCGGCCGCAGGCGGGAACCGACTGAAAGCCCCCGCGCTAATTACTCTTTCTCTTTCTACGACGCTTTGGTCGAAGAACGTGTATCAGCATTGGGCTGCGGGCACGATCACGTGAATGACTTTTGCGGTCTATTACCACAGCAAACGCTACAAGGTGGCAATGATAACCCTGAACATAGTGTATGGTTATGTTACGGAGGTGGTAGCGGTTTCGGGGGATATTGTTCGTATGGTAAGAAACGATTTCACCGACGAATGCGGGTTTGGCAGCTTACAAGCACCGGGGACTTAACGACTTGGATGCGTGTCGAATATGGCACGGACCGAGTTAGTAAGCTAGTGCTTGTGGAAGGCGGGCGGGTGGTTAATCATCTTACGAACGAGATAAAGACAAAAGCTATGCAGTGAGCCACATCCACCACTCCTACGTTGCAGCACAGTCGTCGGCACAACATTAGACTGGTGACTGGTACTAAAAGGGGGGGGGATATGGCCCGAAAATACACGTACTTCGAAAGAGAATTCGTTGTAGCATAGTCTCTTTATTAAAGCTGATTTTCCGACGCCACCGTCTCCAAGAACCACCACTTTAATCTGCATCATTGTGTCTGACAGAACAGTGATCTGGCGATTGTTCTCGGGCAAGGCTGCTGGCGGCCGTTTGGGAGGCAGGACGACGAATGACGAGGTAGCGATGCCGAGATGAAAATGGAAGTAAGACAATGTTTTCGCTAGATGACGACAGTTGGTTTTGAAACCTCTTGGTCGACTGTGGTGGGGCAGTACTTGAGTGATGAACTGTTGAAGGAAGCGCGATAACGGGCGGCCGCAGCCGCCACTGGAAGAAGATGTGACAAGACACACTATGTTGAGGTGTTATGTCAAGTCTTCGACGAAAGGTTGAACAAAAGAGCTATAAAAGCTGATTCAAACGTGCAAAAGTAACCGGCCCCAGGTGACGGGGATTTAACTGAGAAGAGGAAAACAAAATAAGACTTGGAAAACCCAGTGCTTGCTCACAGTAATCTAACCTTTCTGTTCCCCAAACAATCCTCAATGTCCTTTAGGATCACCTCCAGTGGCGTCACGTAGGTGATATCGACGCCACTATTCTCCCCGACGGCAGCACCTCCTGTAACAATGCCCGCTAGCCTCCCCTCGATGGTGAAAACCAACGAGCCAGAATCTCCACCCCGAGAGAATGGCTCTAAGAGATTGTCGAGACTGCCCTCGATCGACCATTCATGGGTCGTGTATGAATGCCCACCGGGCATACAGTAACGCACGGTCGACATGAGCTCGGAGGGGCTTCCGAATATGAGGCCAGTGCTCGCCCCATTTTTGGCAACAATGAAAGACCGGCTACCGTTACCGTCAAGGGATTTTCTGTCGCGCATCTCTTGTAAGGTAACGATGTCCTTTCTCTTGTCAGAGAGCGTAAGGAGCCGGTCCGTGGGAAAGGGGAACTTGTTCAAGCTGGCTGGGAGACTTCTGACCCGCAGATCGACCGTGTTCTTTAGCCCGTTCCCGTTGTCGGGGAATTTTGTTCGATCCAGACGAACAAAGGCCCAGTCCCTAGACCACGGATGGTCACCCGTCTTCCAGAGCTGCAGTGCCGGAGAGTGGACAACACTCCCCACAACGCGGTCATCCACTGCGAGAAAAGGGATAATATTGTCGAACAAAGTGCTCCAGTCTCTTAATATAGGCTCGTAGCGGTCGACAAGGTGAAAGTCTTTCAACTTCACTGCACTCTCTATGGAGGCCTGGGAGATCTTCTTTTCGTCTTTCGATGTTTGGAAAGCATATTTCAACCTGGCTATGCCGGGCACACCCACCTTCCACTGCTCTTGCTCTGGACTCGTTAATGCATACGGCTTGTTGTCTTTGAATCTATGAACGTTGAATGGCAGGGCCGAATGGCGGCAGGTGAGTGCAAATACGGCGTCGTTGTCGCATCCGTCATCGTTACCATGGTCGTATGTCAGATAACATGCAAGTGTACCTTGCACGTTGTCGTTGTCCGTTGGAGCAAAAGACTACCCAATAGCAGTTCCAATGACGTTGGTGCACTCGTAGAACTTTGGAGTAAGAAGGCCTATCTTGCTGGGACTCAGTAAGACAGGGCTCGATAGATAGTGGACATCCGATGTGCGGAACTCGCTCTCCACGTCCCGCAAGTTTGCGTCGTCTAGGATGGTGCGGACTGCTCGCAGGGCGGGCGCGACCTGGTTGTCCCAGGACACTCTGCTGGTGCCGATTCCCACCCACACAACAACTGGCCGATCAAGGATTCGCTTGTTTTGCAAGCCGATACGAAAAACGTCGATTGACGTCCAGGGTAAGCGGGACAGTGCGTGTTGAATTAGGGGCTCGATGTTGTCCCAGATGGCAACAATGAGGTGGTCACCAATGGGCGCCAAGACGTTCTTTGGTGACTCTTGGTGAGACACGTACTCGTTCGGCAAGGGTTGAAAAGGTGGCGGCCACGGTATGACCCCCGACGTCGTGTGGCCCAGAAGACGTGGTTGGGATGGCAGGTACCGGTAGTATGAGGTGGCTTCTTGGTCGCCCGGTGGTGACAGCCGAGGAAGCACATCTCTTGAGCTCGAGGCGCCCACGATCCGGCCCGGCGATTCGCTTTCGTCTTTGATACTATCGGCCATGATGACAATGGCACAAAAAAAGTGTGGTTGGTTTGATGGCCGGCGTGTGTAATGGGGCAGTGTTTCTGTACAGAGTTGGTACAAAGACAGTACAGAGGAAGATGTGACTGGTTGTGACAGGAGATAAGACTGGAATGTGAGAAAAAGGTAAGGGTCGAGGTGCAATTTGGGCTACTTGCCTTGGGTCTGCCATGTGAAGAAAGGGTCAGGCCGGGCAAAGAGCAGGTTGAGATGTGAGCGATGTGAAGATTGGAAGAGAGGAAGAAGAGGCGGCGCAAGTTGAACGTATAATGGAGTCGCGCTTGGCGAATTGAGTTCAAATGAGCGTGGCTTTTCTGCGAAAGCAACCAACTGCCTTGGATGACTGTAATCGATGGTCGATGGTTCTTTGCACAGCAAGCGATTATGTGATGATGAACTGTAATCTGAATAAAAAGAGTAGAGGCGAGAAGAGGTAGATAGTCACGGGGAACCTACCACTAGTCGACGGGCTCCTTCCGTTCCAAGAGCGCGACGTCTTTTTTCCTATTTTGTTTGATATTGTATTTACGTCAGCAGAATCCAATTTCCCCTTTTGGACTATCTTGCATCTCTGTATATGTACCAAGTACGGTTCGAGGTAAATCTCCCTCATTCGCGTCATTTTACTACAATGGCTAGCATTTTTAAGTCAATATCGAGCTCCAGCCTAGCTGTTATTCGTGTCCTATTATTTATTGTCCCATTATTTATTAACACCTCAAACGGACGCTGACTGCAGACCTCTTTGCAGATGGTGATTGACTGGGTCGAGAACGGAGTGGTACGAGACATATCCGCCTCGTTCGTGACTCCGGGTGTGCGTGTGTATAGAGATGCTGCTAGTGGCGACTTTGGCGAGCAATAGCCAATGGGGTTCTTGGCAGTATAAACTAGTCGGTCATTTTAACAGACAAAACGGTTTCTCGTAATCAGAATAGGTGATCGTTTGCAAGTTCGTACTACCTTCATCGATGAGATTTGTGTGATTTTGCAGACGACGAGACCAGTCAAAAACATCAAAAGATGACAGAATGGTGGCAGCTTTGATTGGCTCCCTGGTAGAAGCTACCTACAAAGTCTTGCACAGCTGGCCAATGAAACACAAGCGTGACAAATCATTGAAAACGTCGTCGTGGCCATCACGGAGCTTGTAGAGTCAATAATGGGCAGTGTCTTCGCAAAGGAACTATGTCCCAAGGGACAATAAGGACCCTATTTAAAAGAAGACGAGAGGAGAAATTCAGCACGTCGCACATCTAGAGCGCTCTCGTCCATCATGGGTGTGACGACTAGGAGCCAAGCCAGGGGAGCCGCTGTGCATACCCCCTCGACATCTTGGGCCGAGCAGCCCGTTCCCGGGGCATCCAAGGACGCCACCAAGGACGCCAAAGTTGACGCCAAATTGACGAAGAGCAAACCCGGAGCACCATCGCGCGCGGCACGGAAGGCTAAGCCCCGCAACAAAGCGTCCGCAGCTACTGCGGCGGCAACGACCCCAGCCGACGACGACCAAGCCGGCATCATCTATCCCGCGGAGGACGCCAAGCTCGAGAACATTGTGGCCATCCTCGACAGCAACGAGGCCACGTACAAGGTGCACTGGATGGACCACAGGGACCGTATGGGCCGCCGGGATGGCACCAAATACATCAACCTAATATGGTTTGATTTGGTGACTCAAGACACCATGGCCCAACTATTGGCGTCTGTAGGTTCCTCCCTTTTTCTATTTTTTTTCCCTTTCTTTTTTTGTTTCCGAGTCATCTTCTCCGCCTTACCCAATGCTGCCAGTGCGATGTGCTGATCGATAAGTCCGATGTGCAGCGTGCTTTTTTCTACAACGAGGAAGACAGACGTTTGATAGAACAAGGCGTCGAAGATCTCGTGGAAGGCCGTGGCTGGTTTCGGCAAGAGGAGTACGATAGTGACATTTAAGGACGATGATGCACTTCGATATTTTGTTCTGTGAAGAGCAATGGGTTTGGCCATCGATGAAGCGTGCATCCCATGGATGACCATCGAAAGAGATGTGGGCATTTGAAATTCGGCGGCCACGGACTGAAACCAAACCCGTTAAGTGTACATATTCAATAGCATACACGGCCAAGGACGGCCGATACATCTGTCTCCTCATATTTGCAATGCCAGGTTCTGTCTGGAGATTGCGGCTCCGTACGCAGTCATCGACACAAGTTCCAGACAAAAAGCTAAGGACTGCTTGCACTCATTCTGGGCTGACAACAATCGCAAAGTCGAGGCAGCTCGGTGGTGAATGGATGGATTTTCAAATCAAAGCCATTGACTTACGACGCTCGTCTTGTTTTGCGAGGACCGGACTGTGGCATCTTCAAAGCTATTTTGTGAAAGGGTTCCTCGCGATGGACGGTCGCAAACGTTTCCACCATCTTGTCGCGCGCGTCCGTTTCTCACGGGTAAATAAGTCCACACACGAAAGGGGAAATATTATCAAGGAATGCCTGTTTTCAAGCTGCGTCCCTTCCTCGGAGTAAGACAACGTCGAACACTAGTCGGAAAATGCGGGTATCATCCTGTGGACATTGTGATATGATGAAAGCAACAATGAGCCTCAACGTCATCTCAGGGAAGAGCAGCGCTTGTACACTACGGCGGAGGTAGTCACGAGGGAAAATGGGGACATGTGCAGGAGAACAACGATTAAAGACATGACTGAACTAGTCATTGCCCAAGGGAAGAGAACGCGTCGTGTTATTCGCACAGCGACAACTTGGTCTTCCAATGTCGCTTGAAAAACGAAAAGCCATAAGCTTTTCAGTTTCAGTGCTTCTCCGCTCAGATTGAAGTGAGATAATGTCTCTTTGTTGACTGTTCCGTAAAGAGTTCTCGAACTGGAGTGGGGGACAGGGTGAAAAACAGAGTGAAAGCAGCTTCGTCTGAAAACAAAAGGGCCCAAAAGAAAAGGCAAGGTCGGCTTTTGGGTAATCGACTACAGCACCGTGAACAGCCAAGACCGTGTCCGCCCACGATCCTCGCATTGGATTCCCATTCCGGGCGAAGCTGACCAGAACATCAGCAAAAATGTACGAATGTAAGATACGACCAATGCGGCGCGGAGCAAGCAGGCAGGGGTGCGGTTGAACAAGTTGAAAAACATGAAAGCTAAACGGGGCTGTCCCAAACCAAAAGGCACTCTACACTGGGTGACGTCAGGAAGATTTTGCGCCAGGGGAGGGGACGACCGACAAAACAAAAACCCTGAAAAGTACCTGCAGCAGCGGCTCAATTCAGGGGTAAAGCGGCAAGGTGCATGCCTAGCACACGGCGCAGGAACGGAATCAGAAGATGGTGAGAGTGAGCATTCGGTTTTGTGGGTGGTCGTGGTCATGGTTGTGGTGAAGGTATGAGAAAGTAGAGAAAGCAAGGTGTCTGGGTGTGTGGTGAAGGATGGAGTGCCTAGTCCTGAATGGGCAGAATAGGGGTTAGCCTGCAAGAGATCGCCAGGAACAAGAGGGAAGGAGCGACTCCAAACCTGAAAATGAGGCTTTTCAGGCAATATGTGTTAGGCAGTAGCGAACCCGCGATCGTTCAAGGAAGGAGCGACGAGGTCGAATTAAAACGAAAACGTAGAAACGCAGAAACGCAGACGATACAGATGATGCAGGAGGTGCAAAAATCTATGAAGTACTACAACGGTAGGGGAAATGAATACGGAGACTGAGAGGAACACGTGTGGGATGAAAAGAAGCTGGGGATGAAGAGGTGCATGGAGAGAGAGATCCTTCGTCTTGGTCACCCCAAACATAAAATCCGGACCCTGAAAACCTTATTAGATCTGCCAGAAAAAACATATTGTAAGATGGATGCCCCAATATTAATCAAGGAAGACGCGACGAGGCAGATTCCATTAGCCGGGTTCTTCTTTTGCATTCCCAGTTTTTCTGGCAGTGACAGGCGGATCGACAGAATTAAGGGAAAATAGCAGCGGCGATCATATCAGGAACGACATATGACAGCGGCATGACACTCCTCACCTGGGAGCCGCATTTCCAGTAGTATTCTTCTCCATTGCCAGCGGAAAATGAGCATGCTATCAGGTCGCTGTCGCCGTGAGCATTTCGACGAAGCAGTGCATTTGGTGCCAGTGCGAGCCAGTGTAGGGCTGAGGCGCACTGGGGAATAAGGGACTCGGGAACGCTGGCAGATGACAATTCGATTCGGCCTTTTTGTGTCAATACTTTGTCAAAACAAGACGAAGCGCGCCTCTATATCTCACATCATCCTCATCTCATTCCATCCTGCGAATGCCAACAGTGGCTAGCTGCGGACACAAAATGTAACGTCGCCGACATGGGCCTGGGCAACATTTACACAGAATAATTCGTACGAGCATCCGACTTCGTGAAAGAACAAGATGCAGACCGGACCCAGCATTTCATCGTCCCAGAAATCGACCAGGTAGTATTCCGCATTGTCTTCGAACTGCACCATTTTCAATCGGGGGGTGGCACGGGTACTTTTCAACGGTTTCACACGGCCCCTTTGGAACCTGACTCTACGGAATACAAAATGCACGGCCACCGAACAGAGCATGGCAACCTGCGCGAGCCATCCGCACACAGGATGACCAATGCCAAGCATTGTGTACCCCTTTTTACCATTCCCGTTTGGGCGATAGCACAATAAACCCAATTCCTACATTCTTGGTTCCCCAGGAGGAGCACAGCACTCACAATCATTCTAAGGCGGACCAGCCTGTTCGTCCACTCTCTGATAGTTTCGCTCAGCTCGTGTCTTATCCTTTTCATCAAGTTTATCTCTCGTTCTTGATAAGGAGCGCCAGCCTTTTGTTACCGCCTCTGAGCCTCTGCGCCTCTGGAGCTCTCCGCAATCTGTTGTGTCCCATCGGGACACCATGAATTGGTGCCCAAGCGCTCCGTTTCTGTAAGATAGCATGACACGACACCATACGTCGTACCTGTGACATTCCAACTCAACAACGGCTACAACTGGAGCGCATCTTGTCTGTCCCGGAGCATCGTCCGTCTTGTCCTCCGCGAACTGTTTGCGAGCAAACGCTCCTTCCGTTGAATTCTTCTTTCCGTCGGCGGTACCCGTATGACGCGTTCTGTAGTACGAGGGTTTACGACGTCGCGTATTGTGCGATTGGTGGTGTCCGAGACATACATTCGAACAGAGTGTTTGGGCATCGCTTGAGCTGCATTTGTGTGAGTTGGCCTATGGAGGAATGAAGAATGAACCTGGGAACTCACTCAGGCATTGAGCTGTGGGGCTTCGCATCCCTCGGAGTATCTGGCTGGTCCAGCTTTCCACTGAAGGGCTGTGACGACAGAGAGGATGGTCCAGGGTGGCAGTGTGTCATTGTGAGAGTGGGAACCGACGGATCAAAACAATACTTCGTGCGGAGCTATCACCATTAACCATGGGGATTGATAGCAGGGGAGGCGAGGCGGCCTGCACGATAAGAGAGTGGCTGGCCACAACGAGAAACATAAGGCTGAGTACAGGAAGTGGGCGTTCCATCGCCATTCATGTGAAAAGCGTACTTTCCCGCCTCAACATCCAACCAAAAACCACACAAAGCTCATTTTTATGCACAGCCAAAAGCTATTAGTCCAAGCACCCTCGCTTTCTCAGTTGGCCTTTTGCGAGGATCGGAGTATTTTTGCTCGGATTCTCAGTGTACGACATTCTACTTCGTAGCCCTCGGCAGCAGAACCGTCCTTCCTCCACTAGGTGGGTTTTGTTGTTAGGGTCTTTTAGCGGGTGGCCTCAGCGGATGGCCAAGGTTGACAAAATCTCGTTTGCAAAGGTAGTCCCTTCAGCCCTTCTACTTCGTACACAATGCCGAGTCTGTGACACTGTGATGCAACATCAGCACACCAACACCTCGTATTGGGAGTCAGTGAGTTTCGTCCTTCAGAAGCTGCCATGCCATGCAGTTGAGAAACTATGATGCCGAATGGTTTTCCAACGAGACTATTGTACGACATCCGTCGTACGACGTATTCTCTAAAGACGCATCTTGCAAAAATGGTGCCCAGTGCGAGCACTGTTTGCACTCGTTGGCGCCTCCTGATTCCACGTATCTTACTGCAACCTGGTCGGGAGCCTTTGCACTGTCCCAATTCTACCTTGGTTGAGGGACACACCTGGAGATTGTTTGCCTTCTTCACTACAAAGTGCACATGCTGTCTCGTCTTGCTCTGTCTTTGTCACCACTTCGCTTCGCGCCCTCAGCCATCAGCCATCAGCCCACAGGGGCAGGGGCCCTTGAAGACGACCCCGGCGGCTGTCTGCTTGGCGCTCGCGAAGGAGCACAAAAAGCGCAAGAGAATGCCACAGGTGTTTCCGACGGCGGCAACGACCAAGGTGTAAGATATGTTGCACCCGAACTCTGAAATGCAGTGTACGTACTTCTGTATCTTTGTATCGGGACTTGCTTCCCTCCCTGGCTCCTGGGCAACCGTCCCAACTCTCCAAGTCTTCAGGGAAGGCGTGCTAGCGTGCCAGCTAGCGACCCCCCTTTTTCTTCAGCCTCTCGTCGCCTTCTCGTTTCCGGGTTCTTCTTCGCGGCTCAACAGTCCTATGCCTGCTCCCCAGTCTCACTATCGCCGATGTCGTACTTATTTTCTCGTATTCACGTTGTGAGAGGGAACTAAATCAATCGCAGCCAGTATTCGTACATAGCACGTCACGATGCGCCGTGCCTCGGATCGTGTGCCCTTGCTTTCTGCTGTGTGCCTAGGTCCTCCGCACAGGCGGCTCTGTCCTCTTGCGACTCATGACGCCATAAATTCGTGTTCGATTGGCGGCAGGGCATATCCACGACTCGAAAGAAAAAGCCGGACTAGGGAACAAGCGAAGAGACGGACAGACACACAATCACAAGACATGTCGCTCTGGATGTTTCACTCTGAACCGATTGTAGCGCCTGCTTCCCGCCTCTTCTCTCCATTTTTCCATCTAACGATCGTTGTTTCCTCGCGTGTGTGGTCTCGCTATCGAATTCTGCATCGCCCTTTCCCTTTTTCATCAATTCTCGCCACGCCATCGATGTCCTTAAGTCTCGTATCAGTCAGTACCTTTCACCGGTCCCGTTAGCGTTTACTAACGGCCCTGCAGAGGAACCCACCAGCCGACCACCACAGACCATCCCACCTGCCTGCCCAATCCGCCCACCTTCACTCCTTCCCTGTCGCATCCACCATCCGCTTCCGGCTGCCCCCAGCATTCCTTAGCTGCTTCAGCGTATGCGGCAGGGGTATGCCTTTTCTTCTTTGTCGTCGCATTTCTCGTGTCCGATGCTTCTTTTCTGCGCTTCCTCTCGTTCCTCCGCTGGGACAATGGAATTGGGGCAAGTGAGGTACCTCGCAAGATGCCAAGAATATCCCCGTACCTCGTAAATCCCACCCAACGCCGAAACAAGAAAGAACCATCGTCTCCGCGGGCCTTCCTTCACATAGCCGGCTCAGACAGTTTGGCCAGGCAGGCGCCAACAGTGACCAACAACAAAACTTGTACCTTCCTCCCCTTGGGACTAGTTCGCTCCAAAATAAGCATATATGTGATCAGGAAAGCCCACTCCCTCTTGCTTCTTCTTTCACCTTTTATTTTTGGCTGTTTTGTTTTCTTTTGCTATTTTTTCTTTTCCTTTTCTTTCCTTTTCCCTCTTGGCCGTGCCGTCATCTCCACAATCGTGTTGATATTTTCGTCGTTGTTTCTTGTGCCCATCTCTACTTGGGCTCGTCCCGCCCCTCTTGCGACGTCGTGCCGACCTCAGCGTGCCCTGGCTGGGCTGTCTGTTATTCTCTTTGTCGTCTATCTAAGAAACCCTCTCCACGGTCTTTTATCTGCTCGCACGGCTCGCACGACTCGCACCCGCCTCTGTCTCTTTTCATCGCCACCAAGATGCAGCCGTTCATTCTCCTCTCGGCTGCGGCCGCTGTTGTCGGCTCGTTTGCCAGCATCGCCCAAGCAACACCAATACCGTGTCCTGATGTAAGTCTACATCTAGCTTCATTCAGAACAGCATGGAGCCCGTTCCACTAACACGTATACAAGTCCAAAATCGACCTCATTCTCAACGGCAAGCTCAGCCCCGATGCATGCTGTAGCTACGGCATCTGCAAAGGCGACATCTTGACCAAGAGCAAGAACCGGAAGTGAGGATGAGGATTCGACAGAAGTAGGACAAGACTGGCATAGCCTGCCCACTCGCCTCACTCGTTTTACAGTCATCAAATCTGCTCAAACACGACCAATCGATCACCGGACACCGGATATACCTGAACAATATCCCGACGAGAGCAACGAGGACGATGCAGGTGCTCGTTCGACGACAACGTTGAATGTCGATGGCCGCCCCTATTCAATAGCACCTACCACCGCCACGGATGGTTCTCCTCTTTGCAGGACTCGTCAAACACGTACCAGCGAACATGTCAGTGGCCCGGCGGAGTTGTCTCCGAGTCCTTTCGTTGTTCCTCGACCTTTTGTCTCGCAACCGGACGACACAGAATAGACTACGAGTCTGCCATTACACATTGCTCGCTGTTCGGGAAATCTGGCGAATCATCCAAATGCTGCTATTCTTTTTCCGGCTTGTACGATTATCCGAACTTGGCATGGAATACTCGAGGCATTTACGTGCCTCGCTCTGTTTCCCCAAGCGTTATGACCATTTTTACGACACTACCCCATTTCTTTTGTTGATTTTTTTTTCTCGGGAAAGGGCAGAAGAAAGACAAAAGACAAGAAAAGGACGGCAACAACAACTTCTGGTTACCATTTCGTTCAATTTTACTGGAGTTCACTGTATCGGAGTTTTCATTCTTCCAAGGACAACTGGGATCGTCTGTCCTACAGATATTGAGTGTTGGCAGGACCAGCTGATGGGAAGCGACTTGGCTTTCGCGTCAAGAGAAAACAAGAACGGACGAGTAGAATAAGGAGTTTAACGGTTAAAGAGCAAACATGTGCAACTCTTAAATTAACCGACTCACATCAGACAGAAAGGACTGTTTTTATTTTATCAAGAACCTACTGAAGTGAAGCCATCCCCCCACTATTGTAACGACTATTTAGCATCGACCACCGCATCTCTATCCAGAGCTCCTTCGTTTTGGAATTTGACTTTGGAAACTGTGTAGACAATTCTGACCGGTCAACACTAGTCACCATATTTGGACATATTTGGTCGTCCCATCACCGTGGCCGAGTTGGGGTGGTCTCGTCGATTGGAATGCCGTTGTCTAAGACCGATAAATTTGGAGCAGGCCACTCGAAGCGTGCAATCCTGTTGTCTAGTCTCCGTCGACTCCAATCTCTTCTGGACGACATACAGGCTCATTATGTTGGTCTTCCTCTTCTTTCGCGTAGTCGTCTAATACGTCCCCGATTTATGTCTCTTTATGTTCACGTTAACTCGCTCATGGTATGGAGAAACCTCTCGGATTCGGCCTTTTTTTCAGCAGACGGTGAAATTCGTGGGTACGGGGACAAACTTAGGCTCGGAACGGCCATTGCCGGATATACGACGCATGGACTACGGTGGAGATGTCGAGGTGCTGTTTGGCCCGAAACAAAAAGAGGGACACGAAATGATGGCAACAACGGTTGCCGACGCAACTTAATTGAACCTCGCTATGTCATTTAACCACATAAAGTACCTCGCCACGTCGAACGTCATGGATTGTTCCGTCCTGTGGGCATAGTCCATTACCTCTTCCGGCGCTTTTGACTGCATTTTGGACCGAGTCTGTGTCTGTGAAGGTCTCATACGGCCGTCTTTGCAGCACAGTACACATCAACGCCGGCTGCTAACGCCATGCTGTCAATCACGAATCCAAAATTAAGCTGTTTTTCGTCAGTTCACACTTGACCGCGTAGGCCAATTTGTTCAAGAAATTAAAGTAAAAACCCCGTACTCACCGCAACATTAAACATCGTCAGCTCCTGCCCGTGCGGTGAGGTCGTCGCACAGCAGTCGGCCACCGCCACGCAGTCCCAACCGCCGTTGTACGCGTCCGTCAGCGTACCCAACACACACTGGTCCGTGTTGACGCCGGCAAACAGCAGCGTGCGGATGGTTGTATGCTCCGTCAGGTACTGCCGCAATGGCGCATCCTCTGACCACAGGCCCGACATGCGTGTCTTATCGCACAGCACGTCGCCCAATTCGGGCTGGACGGCCACCGAGAGATTGTCCACCACCGCATCTCCCTCGCCTTCTCCTTCGTACACGTTGCTGTTCCATGCACCCTTGACGAGCCATCGGCCGCAGCCATCACCGCGGTCAACACCGAGGCCGGACGGCACCGGCTCTTTGTCGGCGTCCTCCCGCACCATCATCCGCGAGAACCCAGCGACAACCGCCGCCGGCATCGTCGCCAGGTTGTGGTCGGTCAGGCCCCAGTTGAGCCAAATGACTCGGATGCGCGCCCGTCGGCAGCTGTCAATGGCCGCCAGCGTCGGCGCCACCGCAGCACGACCTGTCGGGTGGTCACGGCAGCGGCGATGGAGAAAGAAGTTTTGCATGTCGACGATAACGAGCGCCGTCTGGCTTGGTGACAGGGCAATGCGCGTGTTGGAGGGCCCGGCAGTCGTGCAAATAGTGACGGTGGCATCCTGCGCGGGCAGTCGGTCGCCCTTGCCATCGTGACCGTCCTTGTCGTAGCCCCGCGTCAGATCGTACAATCGCTCCTTCCGATGGTAGTGCCACTGGTCACCGGCAGGTCCCATGCGGAGCACATTTCCATGCACTGTCGCCATTGGCGTTGTCAGGAAAACGATTGTGTTGTCTTGGTTTATCCTGCAGAATCCTTCTGTCGTTACAGTGAAAGTTGTTTTACGCAAACTGCAGTATCTGTGTCCGCGTCCTGTATGGCGATAAGAGAGGCCTTCTCTATCTCTGAGTTGTATGCGGATCGCTTCTCCGCACGCACTTGCCGTGTATCTGAACTCCGTACAAGATAGGAAGTCACCGGATACGCTATGGGGAAAGAGCTACCAACCTTGCATGGACTTTGATATCTCCATATTTATGTCAACACCGCACAGCGAACATTCTGAGCCTCGTGTAAACGCAACATAAAATTGATGTTCTATTATAATGTAAATGTGAATCAAAAAGCAGTCAATATGTTTTGAATATTGGGCGACAAGGTTAAATTGGGATAAAAATTATCAGCATGCTAACATTATTTTTTCTTTACTTCAAATCAATTACGATGGCATACTTTAAAAGTAGTCGTTACTGTCGTTCATCTCAAATAATATGAATCCTTTCAAGGAACCTTGCATAACACAGCTTCAGAGGCAACGACATCACATGATATCGACTAAAGCTGTAAAACCGGATTAACCGCAACTTACCGCACTGATGGTATAAACCAACGAGTATCACATCACAGAACACGATTACGCAGAATCCATAGCAGCACTGCGGTTGAACCAACTTGAGGGCCGGAATCCCATATATATTGAACGAAAACATGGCTACTAAACGAAAAGAAACACGCTCCTGAACGTGGCATCCTGCCTCTGCCGTAGAACCCAGACCAAAAGAACAATAGAGCAGACGCGCTTATGATACTAATCTTGACCGCGGTCTATGCGTCACCTCCCTTCTCTGATGACGGACCAGCCGGGTGATCAACGGTGGCCTCTGCAGGCTTAGTCTCTGATTCTTGGCCACCGGTTTCTTTGGACTCCGCCGCAGTCACGGCACTGCTTACAATGGCTGCTGCTGGTGCGGCTGTAGAGCCATTAACGGCACTGCCTTCGCCGTGGTCCTCCTTTCGCTTCTTGACGGGGCCATCGGACTGCAGCTCGTTTTCTGCCTCCCGCTTTGGTGTCGTAGACCGGGCAGGCGGTGTTGTGGCTCTCGGCGCTCCAGCCGAATCCGACTCTGCCTCGCCAGCGCTCTCACGAACGCTTTCCCGGCTTGCGAAGGGGACCACGGGTGCCGCCACTGTACCGGGTGGCAGCGCCGACGCCTTACGGCCGACCGCAGCCTCGACGTCAATGTCGCGCATGTCCACCTGGCTGGCGTCGGCAGCGCTGCCAATCAACAGGCCGGCACTGCCCTTGCCATTGCTGCCGCCGGCGGCCGCTGTCGAAAGCCGGCTGGAGGGGCGCTGTGGGCCCATATCGGCTGCACCAATCTCTTGCGGACCTCGAGCGTGCGGGATCTCTTCGTCGTCGTCCTTGTCCTCGTTCTTGTTGTCGTCGTCGTTGTGCTTTCCTGCGGGGCCTTTTCCTTTGCCCTCCCGAGCCGACGCGCCCGGCTTTTCCGATTCGGTCCCGCCCATGTCCGTGTCTTCATGCGCTGTTGGCCGGGCGTGGGCGTCCAGGCTACTGCCGGTCGCCGCAGCAGCACCTGGGCGCCCGCCGTGTGCATGGCGCGCCATGTCGTCGTCATCGTCCTCGTCCATGTCGTCGTTGTCGTCGTCCTCGTCGTCGTCGTCGTCATCGTTGTCGTGTGCGCCGGGACGGAAACGATCGCCAAACCCAGGCATACCGCTCGCTGCCGCTGCGCGTGCGGCCGCAACCCGGGCCAGCTGGCTGACAGGGACAACACCGGCCGTCTGCTCTTGCCGCAGCAACTCGCCCTGCGTGATACCCCGCTGCTGCTGGCGCTGCACCGCCGCCATCATGGCGCCGTGGCTGGGAATGCCGTTGATCGAAACGCTTACGGTCTCGATGCTGCCCACACCGTTGGGCCCGTCAATCGTCTCGGTCGCCTCGGTCCGCACTTCCATCCGGTGCTGCGGCGGGTGGCCCTGCAGAGATACAGGCGACTGTGCCTGCTGCTGCTGCTGCTGCTGGAGCAGCGACGCGGGGGCGCGAGACGCGTTCGCCCCGCCGCCGTGCACGGACCCGGCCGTGCTGCTGGTGGCACTGAACGCCATGTCGCTGCCGTCGGTGGAGCTCGGCGGGCTCGCGCCGTCGTCGTCGGTCATGGTGCCCGCGCCGCTGGGCGGCCGCTGGCGAAGCCAGGGAATGGGTGTAAGCAGGGCGCCGAGCGGGTCGTCGCTGGCCGGGTTGGCGGCGAGGGCCAGACCGCTCCCGTCCATGTCTTCGTCCTCGGGGTCTGCTGGTGCTGATGGGATGACGGCAGCCTGGAGGGCCTCCATGGCTTCGGGCTCGGGCACGGCGGGCGGTAGTGGGAAGGCGTTGCTGCCGCTCGTCACACTGACGACACGGTCGACCGCGTGCAGGTAGGGGGCAAGGTAGCGGTAGTGCTGGCGCGGGGCGATGATCAGCTCGGCGAGGCGCTGGATGCTGTGCGGGGGGTATTTGCGAAAGGTGGTCTTGAGGGTGGTAATGATGTAATCGACTTGTTCGAGGACGGGCCTAGGAATGCGAGGGACGGCGTCTGGTGCTGCAACCCCGTTGCGAGAAGAGTCGTCCTCTGCACCTTCGGCAGGTGCCGCAACGGCTGCAGGGCCACTGGAGAGACCATTGCTGTTGCTGCTGCTCTCACCAGCCGCAGTGGACGGGCCCGCTGCTGGGTCGGGG